ATTTCTCCAAATGCATAAATGTAAATTAAAAATTTGAATGGCATGATATCCAAAACATGTTTTTTGAGGAATAGCTGGAATATGAAATGATAAATTACAAAGATACTTCAAGAAAACCACCTCACCGGGTCAAATAAGACCCACTTATGCATCTAAGGGTTAAAAGGTTATAATGGCTCATTCATGGTGTTCAAGTGTTTATGCGGGAACAAATATATTACTCTCTATTTGAGGAATCTACCTCAAAGCGGCTGCCCATTAGCTTGCATTTATGTAAAAATAATTGATCTTTTGGAAAAAAAATGTGTTTTTCTCCTTATCTCCTAATGGCACTCTCATATACAAAGATGCTAATCTCTAAACCATCTTGTAAATAAACATGGTTATTGATCTCTGTTTCAATCACTTGATAATTCAGAAGGATTTCATGCACTACTTATACACCAAAAGCAAAAATGATGCTTCCTTTGAATAACCTTAAATCACACGCATGCCTGTGCTGCTGCCCATGGTAATCTGGAGTGTACTTCCCTTTGTGAGGAAGCCCCCTGTCTATCTTCCGTTGCCATAGGCATAACTTACTGACGACCACCTGCAGAGCGTGTTGGCAGGATCGTGCAGCGATATGTTTCAGCTGCAGGTTTATTTAGAAGTACACAGAGGCGAGGAATGAGTAAAGTGTTGTATGTGATGTAACATCTGTTTTACAAGGGGCTCAGTGTTTTTTTAGCGGGGCTTGAGATCATTAGCAAATATTTGCTTTATGTATATGAAGTAAGCTGATTGCATACTGTGCTGGAGCGTGTGTATATTAAGAGTCAGTTTACCCACATTGTAATACATATTCTCAATTAGCTCTAGTTGTTGCATCCCCTGCAGATGATATTTGGTTTAATTTGCCAGATTTGATATGTCCCACCCTGAGACATTTGATGTAATGGGAATTCATGTGTGGTGTTTACTGCAGCCTGTCCAACACTGGGTTGTTGAGTTAGATACTGATATTGACATATAGTAAACAATCTGTGAGCATGTTTTTTCTTGTATTGTGACCAAGATGCAGGGTTGGGTTGTAATGGAATACATGTAACGGCGTAATCAGAATACAAAAATCAAGTAACTGTATTCAGCTCACGTTACATTTGAAAAACGAGTAATCTGATTACAGTTACTTTCGTAAACCTGAAGTGAATACATTTTGGATTACTTATTGGAATTATAGGTGGAAAGATTTCCTCACAACATTTAATATTCATTACTAAAGGTACAGCCGAATCATCACAGCCCACAAAACCTATTAAGAAAGAAGGGAGCGTTTAAAAAAAAAAGGGGCGGGTCCGCTCAGTGAAACGATAACAACGAAACATGGAGGAACAGAAGTCTGCGTTTAAATCGTGTGTGTGTGTGTGTGTGTGTGTGTGTGTGTGTGTGTGTGTGTGTCAGCCACACCACTCTTTAGCCTTTCTGAAGGTAAACACAGTGAAGGCGGTAAAGGCGGTGCGTGAAAGGCGGAGCGTGAAAGGCACTGCGCGCTTGTCTTCTCAGAGGCTGAGTTAACCCTCCCGCTGCCGCCTGGTGCTGCAGAGATTTCATGAAGTGAAGGAGGTCCTGCCAACACTGGCAGGACAGAAGACGACACGCCCGTTCTAAGCCGTGTCCCTCACTCCTCACATCCCAAGCTGCATCCCCAAAAAGTTTATTATGTTGTTACATCGTTTCAGATGTTATGTTTCAGTTGTGCTCTTGATAAGCCATTAAAATAGTAAAAACACGTTCAGTTTCCTTTTGCTTTTTGTGTCTCCTGTTCACCAAAACATACCCATCTGTGATGGAAAAAGAAAGTAATCCAAAAGTAATCTAAAAGTAATCTGATTACGTTTTTTAAGACACATAACTGTATTCGGATTACTTTCAGAGCCATGTATTCAGTAATCAGTAACTGATTACATTTACAAAGTAACCCTCCCAACCCTGCCAAGACACATACTAGTCATCACATTTAAAAAGGTTGTATTAGTGTTTTTAAGTGGGTTTTTGTGCATGTAAATGGTCAGCAAAGGCTTAAATTCCAAAGTTCCCTTCAGACACCACAAAACCCCCCCCACCCCTGCCTGAAACACCTCCTTTGTTTTCTTCCGTTACACAGCAGTGACATCAATATGTAACACACACTTCTATTTGCTATCCCTCCAATTCCCTTCACCAATCACAACAGAGCCGACCAGCTAACCACACTACAAAAACTCAAAATCTAGCCAAGTACATGTGACACAATAGCTTCAGAAGTAACACTGCAGTGAGATATCGGGTCTTGTTTTTAGACAATGCATCATCTTGTTAAATCAAGAAATCTTATTTTGAGTTGTATCTCAGATGAAACACATATTTATTTGAAAATCACCAACTAACATCAGAAAATAGAAAACTTTTGTGCATTTGCGGCTTATATTGTAACAAAGCATTTCCTGATTCTGGTCAAATATAGTTCAAAATGAGTTCTCCCAGCTGATTACAAGGTCTAATTTATCTAAATATCCCTTCTTATTTCAAGAAATCTTACCAAGCACATTTTTTCTCTATCTATTTGCAGATTTTTCTACTTATTTCAAGTGAAAACACCTTGTTCTCATTATTATTTAAATTGTTTTTGGAGCAGCATTTTTTCCAGTGCAAACAGAGCAGACTGGGCTCTGGTTTCAGACAGAGGGTGAAAAGAGGTGCTGCAGCACAGGCAGGCAGTATGAGAGATTAAATCATGTGAACATGTGACAGTAAGGCATGAAATACAAATGTGTACGTGAAAAATAGAATAACAGGGCCCCTTTGAAAGTGATCATTTAACATGTTAGTGCTCCCTTAAAGCCAGCTATGTGATGGAGATGCTGTTCCTGAATTAACGTAATCCCTTTTGGCATAATATATTTGCTTACTTACTACCTTCCCGCAAGGAAACAGTGGGACACAGAGTGAGTAACAACGATAAATACCTACCCCCTTAGGAGAAGGTGGGCTGCTGGCTTACAGGGTGATGCTGGGCTGGAGGTGGAGATAGGTGGGTTTTGGAAAGGCTAACAACAACAACAACAAAGGCGGCAGGCATGCAGCCACAAAGTGAGCGGAGCACTGACTGCTTAAGCACAGCTCCATGATTAAAAGAGAGACTGTGCCGTGTGAGTTTAGCATCAGATTGGTCTGTCTAAACTTGCCTGCAGGCTTATATAAATAAAGAGTATATCACATAATGTATCAGTCTAGCTCTAGTCCAAATTGGGTGCAAAACAAATTATATTTAAAATGAAAACACTACATAGGGACATGTGAGTGATTTGGCTGAAACCCTTTAAAAGACTGGGTTTGATCTTAACTTTGATACAATGACCTTGATTTACTCTGTCTCTTTATCTCTGCGGCTATTTTTAATGCGTTCTGCTTAGCATTGAAATACTTCAAAGTAATCTAAAAATATCTTCCTTACCTGGAGGAGACCAGGAAATGGTCCGGCGAGGCCATCAGCGCCTCATGTTTGTTGTAGTAGTTGAACAACAAAGAAATAACTACTACATTATGCATTCAAGCAATTATTCCCAGTCTTAACAATAAGCAGGGCCAACGAGCGTGCAGCCTTTCATTTCAAGACATACATTATACAAAATGTATGAGGTGTAATCACTGAAAATTGGGCCTGGTATCATGAAAGCAATGCATATGACCATGTTTGTTTTCCTCAATTACATATTGAACCTCCTTCAACCTCTAATTTTCTATAATATAGCTGCAATTTACTTTTCAATGGATACTTGAGGGCTTGTTTCTGAATGATGAGTCCATCTGATGTCACTTGATGCAAATAATTAACCAATGAAAGAGGGTCGTACGCGGGGAAATTGGTCCCCCTTAACACAAAGACATGGTCACACTCATGCACAGCCCCTGTTATTTCCTACAGAAGGAGCACAGATGATTTTAGCCTTAGGCTGCAGGTACAACTAGATGAAGGACAGGAGACGGATCACTCCAGTGACACCAGTAAACACCCGATGGCTTTATTTTACGCGTAATGGCCGAAAAAGTGCAGGAGCAAGCAATGAATTTGACAGGGAAGATTGGATAAGTGAGCACAAGCTTCTAGCCTGAGGTTCAGGTTTTTTCTAAATCAGACGGTGTGTGTGTGTGTGTGTGTGTGTGTGTGTGTGTGTGTGTGTGTGTGTGTGTGTGTGTGTGTGTGTGTGTGTGTGTGTGTGTGTGTGTGTGTGTGTGTGTGTGTGTGTGTGTGTGTGTGGTTCAGTATGTCCTATTCTGCATCTGTATTTTAGATGGGCTGTTCATCATTTTGTAATACCCTAACTATAAAACTTTGATTTGAAAGAGTGTGGGAAGCATGCTTATGACCCAACATTAGATGTAGCATACTATAACACATATTACTAATCCTCCCTTACATCGGATTGTTTTATGTTTTAGTATGTTTTAAACACAAATAAGCTTTTCAATATAGCAAGATAACCGATGTTTGTGTACGTCACTGACGGTGGTCCTCACGGATGTGTGTTTCTCTGCAGGGTCCGGCACCTGCGGGAGCTGGGGGAGCTTTCTCCTCACTGGGACAACTTAAGAAAGGAGGTGATGACCCGATACGGAGGAATCATCGGCTCCTACCAGGAGACTTTGGCTGAGCTGGACAAGATTACTGGTACGACATTCACATCTGTCCACACATTTATTCACACACACATGAGCTAAGGTCAATTTAATATAGCTCAACGTGACACATTTGTCTCCACTTTACAATCTGTATGCAACTACCTCTGTCCTTTGTTACCCTGGCATTGGATAGAGAATAACTCCACAAATAAATCTTTTTAATGTGGAATAAAGAAAGAAACCTCAGGAAGAGCAACTGAGGAAAGATCCCTGTCCAAAGAGAAGAGACGAGAAATATATGTTGTGTGTACAGAATACATCAATATGATTGAATAACATTATAGAGTAAATCAGTGCATTGAGTGTGAACACATGTGAAAAATATGTTTTACAAATCATATAATAACACCGATGATGCTGGATGTTTCCTTTTTCTTATTTTGACATTGTTATCCATGTCAAATCTCTTATCTCTAAGTCCTTGAATGTAAAGGAAAACATGTTTAGTTCCTTCAAAGGTTTAAATGCCACATAGTGTATGGAGTTGTACTGTATAATGTTGAAGTGGAGCTGATTTGCGGATGATACGGCATATATTACAAATCAACCAACTCCTGTTTCAGATAAATATGTTATGCAAAATGTTTATCAAATCAAATCAAATCAAATCAGGTTTTATTTATAAAGCACATTTTAAAACGATTTTTGGTCGAGACCAAAGTGCTGTACATGCAAATGATAAATAACACATTACTACATTCGCATATAACAGAATGAAGAATTTATTATCTGGTGAAACAAAAAGTTGATTGTGGTGAGAGTTGTCTCCTAAATATAGAGTAATTATAGGAGTAATTAAAGGTGTAGGTGTATAATTAAAGGGGCGAGGTGTATAATTTCCCAGAGTTCACCCTGTTACTCCATCATAGTTTAAAGAAACACCAGCAGCGTCCCCTGACCTGTGATGTTAAGCCCAAGAGGAGAGGACAAGTCTGCGTCAAACGATGGTTTCTGGGTGATTTGTGTCAATGGAAAGCTTAGTGCGAGGTTGTTTCATGTATCTACTGGCTGTCAAAGAGTTTCCATAGCAACAGAGGTTTCATCGGGGGCAATTGAAATGTGTTTGCACTTGTGAGTTCTGTCGAACTAAACGTTTGCAGAGCACATAAAAAAAACAGTTGAATATATGAGTTTATAAATATTCTGTGTTCTACTTGCTATGCAAATATTTGTTCACACTTTTCTGCAAATGTTTTACATAATAAATGTAATCCACTCAATTAGCTCTAATGTGAGCACGGAACATAATTAGGCTTGTTCTCATTTGCTTCTGACACTTAACAAGGAAACATTGGACATGTGATTAAGCCTCAGACTGCCAGTGAGGTGTTTGTAATGGATTTAGAAAATGTAGGAGACGTATTGCTATGTTTAGTTTAACCACTCAAAAGTAGGATGAAATCGTATAAAGCCTTACTAGCACTCAGGAAAAATATATTGCGGTGTTGGTACGTTTTCTGTCTCTGCCCAAAACTAAATGTATGAAATGATTACAAACTAAGATTATTATAGAAATAATAACACTGACATACAAAAGCTTATTGACTGTTCAATAACTCTGGATTTGTTTCCTCTTCATTATCTATTCCTATGCATAATTTAGTTTCCTACTGGCATATGGACATTACGGATACTGATTAATTTTACTCTCATCTCCATAATGAGATATTTGTCTCTGCTACTCTGCACTGCCCAGCTGATAAGAGATGATGGCCTCTAAGCCTCTGCCTTCCTGAGCTCTGGGGGGGGGAAGCTGAGGGGGGGTGGATAATGTGGCATTGGTCATTATAGTTCCTGACATGTCTCTTGTGTGGCGCAAATGCTGCAATACACAAAGGAACGCCGGCCCAACTCACCACTCTAATCCAGGCCTGCATTAATTCAGCAGGATGACAGACATTGCTAAACAAGTTGGGTGGGCGCGCCACTGCAGATTAATTATTGATAAGCAATATCAATAAAACAGGCGGAGAATGGAGACAGATTTAGGGTAAAGACCAGCGGTTGAGCAAAGACAGGGAAAAGGAATTAAAACATTGTTAATCAAATAAGTCACATGACGACAATCAAAGCATTAAGTGGTATATTTCACGGGAGAAGTTAGTGTGTGGGGTTCATTGGTGTCATTTACACTGCTTGACATGTCCCCACCATTTTTTTAAATGGCTGATTATGTTTATATTACCTTTTTAAAAGCATATTTTGTAAAAAAAGAAAATCCCCAAAAGAAAGCTTGTAAAGTAACACATGAAAACAGTTTGACAAAGGTTTATTTGTACACTAAGAAAACATAGCATGCCATGTAAATATAGAATGTGTATTTTCCTAAGCACAAAGAAATACCCCCTTGGCTTACTCATTATAAAATAACCAGAACTCACGAACCGATTAAACATTTTCATTATTTTCAGAAACATTTTCATTCAAATGTTGCATTGTGTTACAAAATAGTTAAAACAGCAAACATAACCCCCCCCCCCCCCCCCCCCAACCCACAGCAGGGAAGCTGATGAAAACAAACAAATACAATTGAAATTGTTTGTAACAATTGTAATATATATAAAAATAAGTAAATACATAATACTAATATTTTTGCACCGTCATTCCCCGACTGCTCGTGGAAACAAGACTAAATATGTCAAAGTATCAGGATTATATGAGATGATATAGGGATAAGGAATGAGCCAGACAGAAAGGAGAACTGGAACCACGTGATTACAGTAAAAGAAAATGTAGAATTAGATCAAATAACTAAATACAACATATTAAAATAAAAAATGCCTGGACTAAGTTATGACATATACAGAGCGCTGGCAGCGAGGCAGGGTATTGCTTGTGGCAGGATTGAGTCACGGTATCCGAGGGAAGCTTTCACAAGGCATTAAAACTGTGTACATATACTGCAACCTTGTAAACCATTTTTCATTCGAGCCTGTTAAAGAATACTTGATTTGTTTAAGCTCGAGAAAGAACATCACATCAGTAAACTTAAAACACTTCCTTACATTTCTTGTTTTTTCCTGACCTTTGTAATGATCTTATCAAACTTAATTCCGATCCCCACGTTACATTGCCTAAAAGATCATATGTTGAAGACCGATAAAATGTATTTAAAAAAAACTGATGCCCTTGGTGTGGTTGTCTTAACTTGTATGTACTCACAAATCAATACTTTAAGGGGACTTATCAATGTGATGGTACTTGACACAATGCAATACAAATGAAATGCAAGCAGGACGTCTTTTAAACGTATAAACCCATATATCTATCTATTTAAGGTAAATGGGAGGATGCACGTTATATTATGCTCCAACTCTTTAGGGTTTCTACATTTTCACTTATTAGACTTTGAGGTCAAGGTCCATGTTACCTTACATAAAAAGCTCAATATATCGAGAATGTGTTCTTACCACTTTCTCACAAAAGTCTACGAGGATAAAATGATGGATTGATCACATTTTAGTTTGCATGTTGTAATGACGGTTGACTAAGATTTACTTTGCAAATTAGAAGCGGACTAGAATGCGCATATCATTTAAAGTTGATCAAGTCAGAAGGATTTTCTTGTACAAAATAGGAATCATTGGTTTGTACGCTTTCATGGGTCGGATTAAGGCCTTTCTTATTTTTAAGTTTTTAAGATTTTGTGTAAGAACGGGATTGAAAACAAAGTTGAAGAGGAAGAGGAGAGATACTCTTCGCGGGATGTTGAGTTAGTCGCCATGTTCAGGTTCAGCACCCTCACTGATTTCATTGTATACATTTTTAATGAAGAGCTGACCTCAGCTACTCTAATAACTGCTTTCCATTCATAAATTAATCATCCCTACTTTCATTGTTTACCAGCCGGAGAATTGAATGTACCCACGTAATCCTTTTAGCGTTGTGTTTGTTGGGCCTCCAACACTGCCGGCACTTCTCTGTCAGTCACTCTTAAACTTGTGGGATGACTTCAGCTTAAAGCCTAAAGCCACAATTTGTAGATTAAGGCTCACAGCTTCTTCCTCTCTTTAATATCTGTATTTGAACAACAGTCTGTGTCCTCCAGGTAAAGATGTCCAGACATGTTCTCGTTTGCAGTCAACTACAGAAAACATTTTTTTTTTTTAATATGGAGAGGCCCTTAAAAATAATGACCACAATGTTGAAGGACATACATTGAATCAGAGTTGAAAATAAGGAGAAGACTTGAGTCGCTCCTGCTTCTCTCAGGCTGAAGCCTCTTCCCTCCCAGCATGTGTCCCATCTCCTCTGCGTCTATAACATATCTAACTTTGGATTGATTAAAACGTCCTGCTGTGCTCCCAGCGCTACAGGACCATAAAGATGATACCCTTCACCATGCTGCAGACCTACATTGGTCTGACAGCCCTCACTTACAAGACGCTCTTTTTGTAGTTTGTGATCTTAGGTTTCTCCTTTCAACCCGCCCTCAGGCACTCAGGCAGACATTTATAGCGCAGGATATAGGTTGCTCATCTTCTAAAGGATTCAAAGGCGTACAGAAGAGGGGCAAAGAAATGAAACGATAGATTGGAAGAAAATATGGTGGCCAGATGTTGGTCGGTATTGCTGGCATGCAGCCTTTCTGTCACATGGCCAGCCCACCTGGGCCAACAGATGGGGATCTGATATGGCTAATTCATCTAACCTACAACGGTCACTAGCTCCATTAGCCTGGTCCCCAGAGCTCGGAGCAGACACTGAGAGCCCCTGAGCAGGGAGGACAGCTCAGCCGTTCACTTGAATGTTGGCCTTTGGTAAAGCTCCTCCTAGCAAAGCGATCTGTAGATGTACGCTGAGGAGACCAGTTAGATCCTCTGTGGTTGAAGACATTTGCACAAACAGCATGTAGGTCAGGAGTTTTAAAACCACTCTAGCGGCTATGGATGGTAATGTCGGTCTGTCTACTCATAGGTCTCAAAAAACAGCTGGATAGATTTTAAAGTTCTGTTTAGGCATTCGTGATCCCCAGATATTAAATAATAT